TTTTAACGCATTAAAACATTGCAATTGTTGCCGAACGCTAAAGTATAAAAGATATTTTTTTAGTTGGAAAATAAAAATGTTTATTCTTATTTGATAACAAATCAGAAAAAACTTCTGACTTATAGAATGAATTAAAGCGATTGTAACATCTATTCATTTATGTATCTCCGTGTCAAGGCGATTTCATGTAAAGTAATAAAAAAATTAATTACAAAGGTCAGTGGACGTTTTGCATTTATACGCTCGTATTTTAAATTTTTAATACAATAATATATTATGTGTCATTTCTATTTTTTATGATGATTTATTTAGCAGACTTCAATTTTCCGAACTTGATATTTAAGTAATATGCTGTTATAATTTTTATTAAACAGACAAATGAGAGAGAGAGAGAGAGAGAGAGAGAGATTCCGTTTAAGCCCCCCCCCTTCCTTTCAGGCTTCACTAAATGTTTGCACCTATATCAAACAATAACTCTGATATTTTTTTCTAAATATATTAGACAGTGAAAGTAACTTTTTTTTTATCAACAAATCATATCCATCTGTTTGACAGTATTACTCGTTTTTATTTTCCTGCTTCAAGTTCACACGAAGTCCACGTGCTTGTCCTGTCAATCAAAATCATTCGACACTGTGCAGGTGTGAAAGTTTCGTCACATCGAAGACGAAGTGCGAGTATTTCCAACAAGTTATAACATTTATTTTTATAATTTCTAGATTTGATACCAACATTTGAATAATTAGTGAATAAAATATATTGGGCATTAACACTTGAATTTGAAACATACTCTCTGCCAATTTCAAATACCACCGCCAACACGTGTACATTTTGAACTACTATTGTTTTGTGACTTTTTTAGATGCATGTTTGTTTTGAGACTGAAATTTTTGTTCTAAAAAAGACCTTAACTTTTTTTTAACAGGTTAATTAAAATTTTCTGGAAATACAGTACTGACTAAGTAACCGATTTAGGGGAAAAGGGGGGGGGGGGTATTAATCATATCGAATAGCAAACATATAAAGTTACGGTGAAGAAAGATTTTTTTCTCTATAACTATAGACTTTACATACATGTATTATAGTAGCGAATATTCTGTAGTGCATTACATTTTAAATAAATATTTCCTTTAAACACACTATCAATTTAATTCGCTCCAAAAATAATAAATTAACAGGATATCCGCAGTACTATGTATAACTCTCAGAACTAGTTCTATCATATTTTCTGTAGTAATTGAATAAAAAAACACGTTAGAAATAAATATTTTCGTAATTTTGCTGCGTAATTATTTGACTTGGATAATTATATCTCCATTAACGTTTTGTCGTCTTTAACAAAACATCAAAATGTTGCAGTGCTTGAAGTATTTGCACATTGGCCTTAGTTAAATTTAATATTTCAGCATCGTTCTACATAGGTACAGGATGTGCTTATAACAACATTTTTTTCCAGAGTAATTTAATAAATAACCTAATAGCTAAGTTAGAATAATAAAAATATATATCTTAGATATTTTCCCCCATGAAATAATGATTCTTCAAACACGATATGTTAGTATTAAATTAAACAATCTGTAACTCCTTACCTACAAAAAGATAAGTCCTTTCACTTGGGAGTTCCGAATGGCAATGACAACTGAACGATAGGTGAACGCTGAACGCAAGGTGAACGCAATGTGAACGGAACGTAGACCGAACGCTGAACGCTTTGTGAACGGTGAACGCGAGCGCACGGTGAACGGTGAACGCAAAAGTGTGAACGGAGAGCGAACGGTGAACGCACGGTGAACGAACGGTGAACGCACGCTGAACGAACGGTGAACGAACGGTGAGCGAACGGAAAAATGGGAAAGTAGAACGTTTCAGGGACTGTATATATATATATATATATATAAATTAAATGAATGATTAATTAAAAATAAAATGTGAAAATCCAATTCGAGAAAGACTCGAACTATTCAGATTTAGCTGCAATTTAAAACAACAACAAAAAAAAAATTGAATGAATTAAAAGCGGAAATCCTAAAATATTGCAAAAATATGGATATCAGGTTTTTCTTCCTAATATGTTCTGTAAAGTCCGGATAGTGTGCTATGTACATTCTAAGGGAAGGTAAAGTGAGAGAACAATAATGTGGTGTCGATTGCATCCATGTAAAGTTTGTTTATCAAATTAAAAAAAAAAACTAAGATTAATTCAAGGCACATTTTCTAAACATTTAGTAAATTATTATAGAATAATTATTCGAGAACAATTTACAGACAAGATCATAACAATTTTCAAACTAATTTTCAGAAGTTATACTATATCTTAAATTATCTATATTGTTTTCACTTTGCCTGGATCAATATTGATTTTTTTTTGAGAGAGAGAGAGAGACAAACATCAGCTCGAGATAGTGCGGACCTACAGTGCAAAATCTTAGTCTTATAAAGAAGAAAGTGAAAAAATATTAATCAAAACTAAAACAAATGAACAAATATATAAATACTAATAATAATGATTACGATTTTACATTGTACCAAGTGGTAATGTTTTTCGTGTAACTTGGGATACATGTTCACTAATATTTTAAATGATAATCCGTTTTCTTAGATATAATTTTTTTAGTGACAAAATTAACAAGGTACAGTTTATATTTTGAAGTTCTAGATATTTACTCTCGTTCACTAGGGAACTCACTTATGATCAATTGAAACCGGATATCCCAAACAGCGCTAGTAGAATATGACTTGTACAGATGTCAAAGAACATTTAGAAAATGAAATTACCGATCAGTAAATTATTCAAGTCTTAGTAGATTAAGATTTCTTTCAACAAGAGGCGTCTGTCCTGTTGATAAAAAATACAATTGAAACATGTATTTCCGATCGAAGAAACAGGAAATAATGCAAACTACACCGTAAAGACGGGTATATTTAGCACCCGTCTGCGAAGGAATAAATTGATGAAATTTATTTTTTTTTTTTAGATTGAACAGGGATAGGGATAAGGTGTAATTATTCAACACATTTATTTAAACTTGATTCACACAAAGTTAATTGTACATCGTATTCGTTATGAATTATTTTACAGATACCAATTATATAACTATTAGTTAAAAAAAAATTAACTGTCTGGGAATTGAAACTTTATTTCAAAAATTAAGATAAGACTGTTTCTAAAGTAAAAGTTATTCACAACCAAATATTTTCACACCACTGCAGCCTCCCCGAGAGCGAGAACAATAGGGTCAGTACTTATCAGTAAATGTCAGCACTTTTCTAAGTTTTTCAGCAGGGACAGTAATATGGGTCAGTAATTGTCTAAGTTTATCAGCATCGACTAAGATTGTCAGCACTTTTCTAAGTTTATCAGCACCGGCAGTAAAAAGGTCAGTAATTGTCTAAGTTTTGCAGTAAAGGCAGCACATTGTCAGTAATTATCTAAGTTTGTCAGTAAAAAATGGGAATGTCAGTACGTTTCTGACTTAGTAGTGTGATACTCTCTTGTTCACTTGACACTGCTCCTTTTGATGCAAATTGGTCTTACAGCAGTTTGAAGAAATTCGATAATGGTTGATACGTGTGATGAAGAGTGTGACTGAGATGATTGCTCCTTTTGATGAAATTGTCTCCTGTGAGCTCTAAGAATCCGTAAGTCTTCTACCTGACTATCTGACTTCTTAAGGCGTTAAGAACTGCGTCAGATGCTTTTGTGATCAATCTGCTTCTGCATTTACAATATGATAAACATTCGTTTACTCTGTGTTTCCCAAAACAATTGAAACATGCTTTCTTATGTTCTTGTATCATATTTTTTTTTACTACTTGGCAATATGTGGTTGGGTGGTTTCCACTGAAGAACAAGCAATGCTTCACATGGTTTTTCAGCTTGACAGTATCTTTACGGCTTGATATACAACAACACAGTTTGAAGAGGGTATTTATTCCATTGTTTGATCGACTCAGCTGTCCACTATCTTGAATATACAGCTCCCTTTTCATGGCTCTCATCAATGCCTGCAAATGCCAGTTATCAACTCCTTAGTCTGAAATGTTCTGACGAATTTCAGCTGGTAGTTTGTTGTTAATCATTGTGTTAGAATTATCCCATAGTTGTTTCATTGATTCTAAGTGATTCTAATCCTCTGATGAAGCACTCCACTTTATCAAAGAAATTTCTTACGCTCTCGGGATTAGACTTTGGACTGGGTAGATCAGTTAGGCTTTGTATGTGTGCATTAATAATTTTGTGCCCTTGTCAAAATCCGGTCATATGGATAGCAACTGCTTGAGAATAATTCTTGCTTTGTAATTGCAGTCCTGAAATACTATTACATGCAATGTCTTGGAGTTGATTTTTTAAGTGATTCAATTATTTAAACGTTTATATTTTAAGAAAGCTATTAGTAAAAAAGCACGTGATTTATAAAAACTTCACTAGACGTCACCTTAATGTAACATGGGTGATCTTTTTGATATACGAAAACAAAATGCTAAATATTGAAATATTAACATTGTTAAAAAAATAGTTTACTTTTATTCACCTATAAGAAAAAAAACTCATGAATAATATTCACAGCAGCTGGTCTGGTAAACACAACACTAGCTATAGTAGTCTTCATAAAATGATGCTACGATTCGATTTTCATACAAGTTTCACAAGTTTTAAAGCGATGGTGTTATAGCGATCTTCTGGCTTATTTTCTTTTTCTTGTATGTTTCTATATATACAGTCATTTAAATTACTTAATATTCACATTATGATGGCGCACAAAATTGGGGGAATTTTCAGGACTGAATTCAAATTTTTAAACACAAATAATTTACAAAGTATTTTTATTTGAGTATCGAACTTCCTTCAATAATATATTTTATAATGTCCATCCTGCAAATACAAAACTAATGCAATATCTGGATACATTCAGAAACTCTCATCTCGCAGATGCATTGAGTAACAAAAGTCTAAATAGTACATGTTTATATGGATTTTTGTAGATAAAAGATTTAATCGAAATCATGGACATAGAATGTGATGAAGTGCTTCACAGAGAAATGAATCCTATGGAAGTGGCTCTTCTGGTCATGCTACACCGAAAACATTCTGACACGATAACTTTCAATGCATCTGACATCCGGTGGAAATGGAAAAAGGGGTCATTAAAATCAGAATTTGATAAAAGAGTGGAGAAACTTAAAAAAGGGGTAATACTTGCATGCATGCATAACTTGATTTATTCTCCTTTTTGAATTAAAGTAATGCAATAAATTATTATTTACTCGATACACACATTTTCTAAGAAACTAGATGATTGTTAAATGTGAGAGTTATTTTTACAAACTAATTTGAAACTATTCAATCCGAAATTGTTCGTATATAAAAAAAATGTTTTCCCCCAAATCATTAGACCATTCATAAAGATGAGGCCATAGCGATGCATACTGTGTTTGATATTGTAGGGTAAAATAAATACAGAACAATCTTCTGCTACTTTTATCAACGAAGTAGAAAGGGTATGTATATGTTTTGATTGTTTTTCCCTTCAATTGAGCGGTAGTCAAACTCTAGTCTTTGAGATGATAATTTGTCTTGTATAGTCTCTCTCTTTCTCCACTCAGATCTATAAAGTACTGTATTCAGCAAATTTTATACGTGTCATTTTATCTTTTTTTTCTATTTTCATAAAGTGAATCAGAGATCAACAACTAATGAACATATTTCTAATCGTTTAAAATTTTTCAAAAACCAAATCAGTATGAATATTGCTGTGAGGCTGGCATAAAATTACCTATATTGTATTCATGACAACTATTTCAGACATTGAACAACGTGTTTTTGTTTTGTTTTGTTTTATTTTTGTTTTGTTTTTTTATAGAAATTTTTACGTGGGCGTATCGTATTCAATAGTCTTTTCCAATAGAACACCAATAATAATCTATCATCAATACAACCATTTTCAGATCTATATAAAGTGCATTCACATCTGTTCCTGGCCTTTCGCTAGGTTAAGACAAAAAAAAAAAAAAAAAAAAAAAAAAAAAAAAAAGACGGATCCAAATTTTTAAATACAAAATGAATGTAAAAAGCATGTTGACATCTTCTTCTTGAATCTAAAATGGCTGCAAGGTTTAATATAAATTTGTTGCCCTGTTTCTACTGTTTTGGATCTTTTAATGTACAAAACTATTTCTGACGAAGAAATTAAAAGGACTTATTTTAGGTGCAGATATTTTTCTTTTCGTATCGTTTTCTTTTTCGTCTTCTTTTCTTTTATTTTTTCCATAGGAATTATCCAAAATTGATTTGCTGAAATTTCCAAATGAAAAAGAGGATGGTGAAAATTCTTCAAGTGACATAGAAAGCGAGGAAAAAATAAACAATTATATGACGGAGCAGAACATTAAATTGTCCTCAATGAACAGAGAAAGAGTGAAGAAAATAATAGAAGATACAGAGGTAAGATACACCATACATGTATTAAAGATTGGAGTATGAAGTAAAAACGAAAATTTGCACAGAGTTCTTTGTCCCACGAGAATTCAATTTCGTAAATTCACCGTTTATTATAATTCATCTCACTTTGACTGATACTTGGAACATTTACAAAATTTTGGTGACACAAAAAAAGTACCAGGTTTAAGTGCTTCCTTACATCCTTGCAATTTTTACTTAGTTGAATAATCTTTTTTCTGTCTTTAACTTTCTGCTCAATTGATTCTGTAATGTGAGACTTTATTTTGTTATGCGCCTGATTTTCGCCCATGTTTTTTTGTGATAAGTTAATCGTCCATTCTCTATATAGCCTCGATGTTGCAGGAGTGGCTGGGGTAACATCCTTAGCAATCTCACAATTGAGATACTGCATATTACAAATTAAAAAAAAATATATCAGAAATAATCTCCCAATTTCACAGTAGAAAAAAAAAATCAAGCTTGAAATATTTTTGGAGCAAAATCATACATTTTTTTTTTTGGCACAACAGAGAAACTGTTTCTTTTTTCCTGAAGAAGTCGATGTTTTACAATTAACGAATTCAAATGTCGTCATCAATGGAGTTGCGTTATTAAATGAATGAATTATCAATAATTTAATGGAACTAGCTTTTACACCTGCGTAGTATATATAAAAAAGATGCCCAAGGGAGTTAATGGTAACCCGAGTTTAATACAACACTGAAGATGATCTACGAAAGTATAAAACAAAATTAACTAGTAGATGAAGGTATGTTGCCCGAGAATTTTTTAAAACTGGTAAAAATACCCCTGCTTATTGTAACATGCAAGAACCGAACGATCTCCTTGGGACTCTTACCATAAACAACAAATACGGGACCCCTCTGTCAAGAATACGCCATGAAGTGAACATTTCATTTATGTGCGAATGGAAACTTTTTAATATTTCTATTTTATAAAGTTTTAGAAAATAATGAACAATTACGATGAGCCAAGGAAGATTACTCTGTAAAATTATTTAAACCTAAACTAAATGTTAATTCAACATTATAGCTTAAAAGTAGCAGTCTATTTTATCAAAATGTACATGTGTTCAATTTTATACTTTTGGCGCCCTAATGACATTTACCTGCGCCAATGTATAATGCTGCCTTTTTGACGTCACAATAACGACGTCATAACAACCAAGTCGTATTGTTTTTATATACTTTGTTACACTCTGAAGAGCCTCAAGGCGAAAGTGCTAAGTGTAATAATTAAATGAGAACTTGTTTGTTAATCTTGGATATTTTATCTTATATATATATATATATATATATATATATATATATATATATATATATATATATATATATATATATATATATATATATATATATATATATATATATATATATAAGTTCACTTTTTCACTTTTAAATAGTAAATAAAAAAATATATCAATTTATGAACAGGGCACGTGTGCACTGCTCAAAGAATTTTATATGATTTATTTTGCCGATTTTAGTTTGATACTTCGTCGGACTTTATTGAAGATATGAACATCAAAGACAATCTCCTTAAGGTATGAGTTGAATTATTTGTATGTTTCAATACTTTTGAAAGGCCATTTAGTTTTGTTTATAACACTTTATATATTGGTATTTGAATCAAAATTTCTATTGTAGTTTTTTTTTATTCTACTTCAATGCTCAAATATTATTTTCCAAGAATCTAGATGAGATTAATAAACGTTATAAAGAGAAAATGATGAAACAACTTGGAAACCAACGAGACAACATGGCAGAAATTTTGAATCAATACCACACGGAACAGTTAGAAATTGTAAAGAAAATAGATGAAGAAAGAATGAAAGAGATTTTGAGACGAACATGTCCTTCATCTGTAAGTGCTACAATTAATCAACAAATGATTTTTCAGTCAGTCTTATTGTATTAAATACGAGGGTTGTTCAGAAAGTTCGCGGACTTCTGTCATAACTTTTTTGTTTGTTGGAAGACCTGGACTCCGAAGACTTTATAAATGTAGTCAAAGTGGCTTTTGCAAAAGAAAAAAAAAACGTGACATATGACTTTATTCCCTCTTAATCTCTTCCCTTGAAATGGGATGTGTTCTTTCATTTTTACAATTTTTAATCTTGTTACACGTAGATGCTTTGTAACATAGTTAAAATATGTTGGAATTCCGATGGAAGCTACATGTAATTGTGATTTTTTATTAGCCGACCTATTTTTATATTCCCAAGAAGCAAAATTTATTCAAAAACGTCTTCATAAGAAGAAGAAAAAAACTTGCCGTGGCCTTCGACTCGAAATGTATAGAGATCGGCGATGTATTATCAATTAACAATAGTTACTTTCATTCATTGTCAATTTGATATATCCGAGTCAAATTGAAATAAAAGACACCACAGATTCTGTGACATCTGTTTCATATTGGATGTTTAACTGACTGTAGACAGTTAGGGCCAAGTAACGACAAAATTGTATGACAAACGAGATGATTTTCGAGATGATTTCAGCTTTTCTATCGTTAACTTTACTTATTTATAAACTAGTAATATCTCGCTAATACCTGCATATGGTGTTTACATCTTCCAACTTATTCCATACTCAACAGAATGCTCCGAGTACAATCAATTTTTAAATGGAGGCAGGCTACTGAAGTATAAATTGATATTACAGATATTTCAACACCCTCTTCTAAAGTCAGAATTTCGTAAAGTTTATGGTCGTTATATCGACCTTGTTAGCAAATATAACATACCATTTGGTCATATTTTTGGCTGACTTGTTTCAAAGCAATTGTTAGGCATTTGTTCCCTCTACTTGGTCAATACATAGAGCTCACGACGGATGTGACAGGTCAACAAGGGAATACCATCTCCTCCTAGGCACGTGTACCTGTTCCCATCTCTGGAATTTCAAGAGATCCGTTTCACAAAATTGTATTTTTAAAGATTTCTTGAGATACATCACTGTTCGTTATCTTCACCTTTTTCATTAGCCAGACAAACATGGCTTAAAATCGAATGTAGATTCATGTGTTTGAATTACTCATCCGGGATCCAGGAATGGGTCACATAAAAGGGTCAACCTGTAAGTGTGCGTATGCCATGTCAGAAGTATTTTGCAAAATCGGAAACCGATCACAAAATTTTGTGCACGCGATTTCTCGAAAACTGTTCAATGAATTTCTTTGAAATTTTCAGGGATAAAAGGTCTTTATATGAATTTTATATAAAATTCCGTTTTTTGGTAAATTCGGTTCCAGTGCCAAGTTATGGACAATTTCCTGATTTTAAAATGAAATTTTGTCCGCTAGTGTTCTCAAGAATGGCTAAAGATATGAACTGGGGACTTGTTAGAGATGATAGAACACGATTTCTAAATTGGAGAGGGCACCTTTCCGTTCGTCGTCGGCACTTCCGGTCGCTTACGGAAGTGATCAAAGAAAACATTAAATTTCAACTTTCCTTTTTTAAATCAATACTTACATCACATTATTGCATCTCTTTTGTAGTTTCGAAATATGTTGGTCCCACCGGAAACATAAACGTCAACTTCCGGTTATAAGAGAAAAACTACATAATTTGAGTATTTTTCTTTCCCATTAATATCTTTTGTAGATAAAGTATTTGGAATGAATTTTAAATATGTTATTCAGACTGCAATTGTCTAAAGAAACGTCAAATATCTTTGCAAAATTCACTTCCGGTCGCGTGTTTTTCTGTTCTCAAAATGAGAAGTTGTCTGAGCAAGATCTCGGAAACGGTAAGAGAATAAGACACCAGACTTATATGAGCAACAGATTTTAAGATGTAACCAAAACAATTTGGGTTCAGAGCGTCAGTCGTCACTTCCTGTCGTCACAGGAAGTGATCAAAAAAATCGAAAATTTCAACTTTTCTTTTTTAAATTAAAAATTGCATCACTTTATTGCATCTTTTTCGCAGATTCGAAAGATGTTAGTTCCACCGGAAACAAAAACGACAACTTCCGGTTATAAGAGAAAAAATAAATAATTTGAGTATTTTACTTTCCTATAAATATTCTTTATAGATAAAGTATTTGAAATGAATCTTAAATATGTTATTGAGACTACAAATGTCTAGAGTAACCTCAAATATCTTTAAAAAATTCACTTCCGGTTGCGTGTTTTTCTGTCCTCAAAATGAGAAATTGTCTGAGCGAAATCTCAAAAACAGGTAAAAGATTAAAACACCAAATTTTTATGAGTAACAGACCTTGAAGAGAAGGCAAAACCATTTTGGTTAAATGCGTCAGTCGTAACTTCCAGTCGTCACAGGAAGAGATCAAAGAAATAAAAAAATTAACTTTTCTTTTTTAAATTAAAGTTTGCATAACTTTATTGCATCTCTTTCGCTGTTTTGAAATATGTTAGATTCCACCGGAAACAAAAACGTCAACTTTTTGGTGATAAACTACGTTATTTCGATATTTAATTTCTCATAAATATTGTTTATCGATAAAGTACTTGAAATGTTTTTATGCATTTTGTAGATACTGCAAATGTCTAGAGAAACGTCAGAGATTTTTTTCATAAAATTCACTTCCGGTCGCTTGTTTACCTGTCCTCAAAATTAGAATTTGTTCTCACAATATCACTTGGCAACAGTAAATGACTGAAGTCTTAAACTTTCAGGACTGATAGTCAGTCATCAGTTTATTTGAATCGCTAGAAAATCTTGTATCGCCGTTACTTCCGGTCGTGACAGGAAGTGATGCTAATAAGTGAATGGTTAATGATTAGCGCGTTGGATTTTCACGCTGACGACCAGGGTTAAATCTCCAGAGTGTCTGAAGTTCTTTTATCACCTTTTCAGCTTGAATTTACGTTTTTATTTTCAAAATCGGACGGAAGACCTTTCATTGCTCGCAATGAGTTTCTAGTTTTTAATCTTATTGTGTTTTGAACGTAAAATCTATACTTATAAATTAATAAATTTTGCAGAGTTCTTACTTACTCCTCTATGAATAAACTAGATACAAGATGATGTCCGTCAACTATATTCAGATTTCAATGGCATAGTAAATATCGTACATTAAATTAAAAGTCTACTTTCATTTTCTTTAAACAGCCATGAAATAGCAAAAACGTGAGTACGGTGGCGGTTTCGGTTGGCGGATCTAAGTTACTGGCAATATTGAATGAAACTGACAACAAGCAATCGTTTATTTATTTCATAAACCGTCATCTCTGAATTATTCAGTCAAAACTTGATTTAAAAGATGTAAAAGAAATAAGTTGTGATAACGGATTTAAAAGGAAAATTTGCTAATTATTTTCGTCGTTCACTGATTTTAATATTAACGGAAGCTTCTAGAACATCATATAGCATCGAGCCCGATGTTAAAAAAAACGAGGCGATTATAGCAGTATGAACATAAAAAACAAACTTTTGTGTGAATGGTCATTGAAATAATGGTAAATCATTGATAACACTATAAGTTGTGAATATATGATATATGCAAAGACTATTAAAAGGTTTGTTTTCCTAATACATTTACCGTTTTCTAATAAATTTATCAGTAAAATCTTTATATTCCTCATTGAGAGCATCATGGCAACGAACCCGAAGTACAATTTGTACTTCGTAATAAACTTGCTTACATGAAAAGAGAAAATTAATGAATAAGGTATTGTTCAAATACAATTAAAGCTGTTAAAAAATTGTTCTTTAATCAATACATTTCAGGATGGCGTTAAACGCTAATTTTTACCCCCCTCCCCCCCCCCCTTAAAAAAACCAATTTAACAATAAATTGTGCATGATGGCTGCTTTTATTCTGACGGAAATTAAATAAGAGTACCTGAACTACAATATTCATAACATAGTATAACAGGTTTCACAATAAACGTCAATTAATGAAACTGTTGTTTTTCAAGATTTTCCAAAAGGGTGGGGAAAGGGGGGGGGGAGAGAAGGAGGCGTACATCTACTTCTGCTCCAAAACTAAATGCGGCATTTTGTACAAAGTATTTATTCCTGCTATAAGCCTGTAGGCTGTCAGTAGAAACTACAATATATATTATTGGAATTTTTCTGTCGGTAGTGGTATAAATTCAATTCCCCGCGCTCGTGCAGGATTTCATCAAGTAGTAATCATTTCTTTCTTATAACTACATTGTGTTCTCAAAATATTAACTTTATATTGTAACTTTCTGATACTTCAGAAAAAAATTGATATCTTTTATTCGTGTCACTGAACAAAGTTCACATGTGCAGTGTATGTTTTGTTGTTCTGTAAAGTGTGCACTGTGTTTTGTGTTGAACGTAGCATAATGATTGATTGATCGATTGTATGTTGTTTTACGTCCCATTCGAGAATTTTTCACTCTTACAGAGATGTCACTCTCTACAGTAAAGGGCTTCAAATTTAGATCTCAAGGCTATTGAGCAGTGAAGTTTTATTTTTATCGTGTCAACTCCTTCCCTGACACGGAACCTCAGTTTTTAAGGTCTCATCCAAAAGAATTTACTCAACGCAGATTCAAATTATATTAGAAGATTTCATTTGAGAGAGTGCACTGAATGAAGAAGTTGAACGATTTTAATCGTTCGCATATATTTTGGCCAATTTTTCCTTCTTTAAAGATCTTGAGTTTATATGAATGCTTGCACTTCAAAAACTAAGCGGAACTCATATCTGGGTCAACGAGCAATATCCCTCAGAGATAGAGGAAAATATGAGGAAATTATATCCCGTTATGGAACAGACCAGGAAAGATAAGAAAAAAGTGAAAAGTGTTTGTGATACGCTGTACATTGATGGTCAAAGACGGGTCCGAACAAAAACTGCAGCGACCAAGATTCTAAAATTGACCACTCCAAACTTCAAGACGCAGACCGAGAGGTCATGAAAGCAAAGAAGAGCAGTCTTTACATTGACTGTACTTCTGACATTAAATGTGGGTGGTTTCATGCAAAAAAAAACTGCATTATCTTGAATTTTTAAACTTTATATTCCATATGAAGTCTTGTGTTCTACAAAAACACATACCAGGTTGTTGCATTTCATGAAAAAAAAACAGATTTAATAAAGCAAAGGTTTAATTTGGTGGGATAGTTTTGGCTGTTACAGTAGATTTTGTTATAATTTTTATAACTGTACATAACACAAATTGTCCTACTCGTATGCCTACTGCCTTTCAATAGCTAAAATATTGTATTATCTTTTAGATTACACTTTATTAGAAACTGCATACTATATATTCCCTGAAAACATGAAATATGCATCCAAATACTGTTTTCTAGAAATACATAGAATTTGGTTTTTAATCTCTCAGATGGTTATGTCTGTTTAAAGGGTGATTTCAATGCCCATGTGGGTAAATTGCAAGACTTAGTAAATGTTGATGATTTTCTGGTTTTCACTAACAATATGATATATGTATGTGGTGTATATATTTTCAAATTGCTCAAACAATTTTACATCCATGATTTTTGTAATTTATACTCTGATGTCAATTGTCCGATAACAATTGAACTCGGAAGCGCGACGGTAGAAAGTCACTCAATTGATCAACCGTGCGACATGCATAAGTATATCAAGCAATATAAATCGGACAGTAAAAAATCTGAACAATCCAAAGAAAACATTGAGAAAATAAAAGAGTTACAGACAGATTTACAACTTAACGAAAATGTTGGTATATTCCAAAATAACGATATAAACAAAATTTCTAGAAAATCGAGAGGTTTATTTCTATTTACACAAGAAATAACACTAGATGTGAGACACACACTGGAACTAAAAAAAACTCTATTGTGAAAGAAACATTGTTAAATCAATTTCACGAGATTGGTTATGGAGAGTAGAAAATTCATCTGAATGTTTAAATCACAAGTTTTGAAGGAGAAATGCACTTAAGTAGACTCCAAAAGAATTATACTAAAAAAAAAAAAATAAATAAATAAAAATTGTAATCGCAGACTTCCAATCAAATCTGGCTGGTAGATAAACTGATACTGACAGATCTTTAGGGAAAAGTACAACTGTAATCTGTGCAATTAATAAAAACAAGATGTGTTTGTGAAACACTGATGCCCCCGTATGACAACTTATAGCAAAAGTTAAACTTTCTCAAATGCAAATCAAATATGTTGCTATCCAAAGTAAGGTCTTGTCTCGAGGAATAAACTGTGAAATATGAAAGCCCTAGCAGCAACCATTGAATAGATATGGAAAACGTTAAAGTTATTTTTTCAAAAGTATGTTAAATATCAAGGTCAATGTCAAATGGTCAAAACTAATGGTGCCCAAGGAAAGGCATTCTCCCAAGAAATACACAGGTGAAATATGAAAGCCAAAGCACCAATCGTTCAAAATATATGACCAAGGTTAAAGTTTTCCATATGAAGGTCAAACTCCAATGTCAATGTCAAAGGGTGAAAGTTGTTGGAATCCAAAGAAAGGACTTGTCTCAAGGATTACATATTTGAAGTATGAAAGCCTTAGCACCAACCGTTCAAAAGTTATGGCCAAGGTTAAAGTTTTCCAAAAGTAGGTCAAACTCCAAGGTCAAAAGGTCAAAGTTGTTGGTATCCTAAGGAAGGTCTTGTCACAGGAATTAGACATGTGAAACATGAAAGCCCTAGCTCCAATTGTTCAAAAGTTATGGTCAAGGTTAAAGTTTTCCAAAAGTAGGTCAAACTCCAAGGTCAAAGTCAAAGGGTGACAGTTATTGATATCCAAAGAAAGGTCTTGTCAAAAGGATTTAACATGTGAAGTATGAAAGCCCTAGCACCCATCGTTCAAAAGTTATAGCTAAGGTTAATGTTTTTCAAAAGTAGCTCAAACTCCTAGGTCAAGGTCAAAAGGTCAAACTTGTTGGTATACAAAGGAAGGTCTTGTCACAAGGTTTACACATGTGAAGTATGAAAGCCCTAGCACCAATTGTTTAAAAGTTATGGCCAATGTTAAAGTTTGGTAAAAATTTGCAAAACTGGGTCAAACTCCAAGGTCGAAAGTTGAAATATGGTGGTACCCAAAGAAAGGAATACACATGTGAAATATGAAAGTCAAAGCTCCAATCAATCGAAAGTTATGGGCAAGGTTAAAGGATTTGCGGACAAACAGACATTTAGCTAGACAGACAGACAGACAGACGGACAGGGCAAAAATTATATACCCCCAAATCTTTGATACGGGGGCATAAAAATATTGGCCTATTTTCAATAATTACTCTATTGTTTCATACTTTTCTTTTATTTTGTATAAATGTCTATACGTTCATGTACCTCATATACCATTGTATTGTCTGAGAGTGATAAAAGGTGAAATAGAATTTCAGCTATGTAGCCTCTTAAATAAAACCTGTTTAAATAAATATGCAAAAAATTGACAGGAATGTGTCTCCATGTGTATATTGTATGTTTTGTTTTTAAATTTCTTATATATATATATATATATATTTAATCTACAGAATGAGTTGGTGAAGAGTCTGAAAACAGAGGGTGATCCGGTAAGTTGTGTGATGTGATGCAATATCTCGAAAGAAGACAATGAACAAATCAGTAAAAAGTCTTGCATTGGTACATAAGGCTCGTACACAATTTCTGAATTAAATTTATATTCTACATCTTTCCTCTTAAAAGCATTGTAAGAATATCAGATAAGTTATAATCTCATCACCTCTGAAAGAAAGTAGAATTAATAAGAACGAGACTGTTTATGCGAGCAAAACAAATGATATGTTTTGATATTAGCAATATTTCATTTTGACGCTATAGAATTTCAAGTTTTTCTACGACGAAACATGACCTAGAATTAAAAAAAAAACAAGATGTGTTTGTGAAACACTGATGGCCCTTATGGCAACTTAAAGCGAAGGTTAAACTTTCTCAAATGCAAATCAAATATATTGGTACCCAAAGTAAGGTCTTGTACCGAGGAATATACATGTGAAATATGAAAGCCCTAGCAGCAACCATTGAAAAGATATGGAAAAAGTTAAAGTTTTCCAAAAGCGAGTGAAACATCAAGGTCAAGGCCAATGGGCTATAATTGTTGGTATCTAAAGGAAGGTCTTGTCACAAGGATTAAACATGAAAGGAATGAAAGCCCTAGCACTAAAAGTTCAAAGTTTATGGCCAAGGTTAAAGTTTTCCAAAAGTAGGTTAAACTCCAAGGTCAAGGTCAAAGAGTCATAGTTGTTGGTATCCAAAGAAAGGTTTTGTCACAAGGATTACATATGTGAAGATTGAAAGCCCTAGCAATGTTAAAATTTTTCAAAAGTAGGTCAAACTCCAAGGTCGAAGGGTAAAAATTGCTGGTATCCTAAGGAAGGTCTTGTCATAAGGATTACACGTGTGAAGTATGAAAGCCCTAGCACCAATCGTTCAAAAGTTATGGCCAAGTTTAATGTGAAGAAATTATTTGTAAAACTGGGTCAAACGCCAAGGTGAAGGTCAGAAACTCAAATATAATGGTACCCAAAGAAAGGACTTGTCACAAGGAATACAAATGTGAAATATGAAAGCAATAAGCTTCAACCAAAAGTTATGAACAATGTTAAAGTTTTTGCGGACTAACAGACAAATAGACAGGCAGACAGCTAGACAGACAGACGGACGGACAGGGCAAAAACTATACATTCCCGAATCTTCGATACGGGGCATAAAAATGTATAAATGTTAAGGACATTGCACACCTTTTATCTACGGCATTCTATAGATTCTGAAATAAAATATGCTTCAGATACGTGATGGACGGACACACAGACTACAAAACGATACTATAATTAAAAATTCTGTACTTGTCCTGGCCGACTACTAAGAAATCTATCCAGGATTTTCAAAGTCTTCCAAGTTTAATTATAAGAAAAATAATTTGCTTCAAGATAATTTTTTTAATTAAAGCCTCAATCAAATGACATGTAATTCAGATTTCAAAACAAATTTAGGAGCAAGCACGAAAATAAGATATTTTGGAAATAATAAATAGTAAGATTGGAACTTTCTTATATTTTAATCGCAAGAGAGTAGAAAAAATCATGAAATAAATTACTGTAGCTGTCATATCGCCGCAGGTACTCCCTCATTGATTAACAGCACTTCAGAAATTTTGATATTCCCTTTTCATATTTCACTAACATAGGAAAATTTTATAGATCTACAGGAAAAAGTTTACTGTTTAAAACAAATCCATGTATATAAACTCTAATTTTCCTGGAAAAATTACTACATCATACTATTTTCTCTTAAATACAGTAATTTGAACATCTGACTTAATAACTCTAGTGTATCGGTTTTTTTAATTAAATTAATACATTTCTGCTGGAAAGAAAAACCACACAAAAGCAATAGATTGATATTCAGTATTTTTTAACAAGAACCTCAGTCAGGAAAGCCTAAACCTTATAGACAATATGACAAACAATATTAGGAGGAAAACAACAATAAATCCGGAGGAACTGAAAAAAATATTCAGAGAAGAGTGTGGCAGAGAGCGACAGTTAAAAGTCGGTGTAGAGTTACCACACAGAGAAGAAGTTAAACAAGGGGAGGACAGAAACGAGTATAAAAATGTTCTTGTGAGTTTACATAATCACAAATGAAAACGATGTTATTTTAAATTAAATTTGTTTTATTTTTGTGTATAAAATAGTTTTTCTTAAGAATATTTGGACATACTATGCTACATCAATGCAATGCTTTGTTTATCTCATTATATTTTAAAATGCACAAATTCTGTTGAAGGCAAGACATTATAGAGATTTTCCTGAGATTTCAATTAATTCAGTAATTGTGAGAGGAAAGAAGGTACAAGAAGGGTTTGATAAAGAACGCCTAATGCAAATTCAAGAAGAAGAATCTGTTTAGTGGCTCCGTAATCAATATCAAACAAATATGACATTGTAAATTGACGTTATGCATGGATATCCATTAGAATAAACAGGCAATTTTAATAACAGACAGAGAATTTGGATTGGATATGTCAAAATATAATACTTTTACGCACTGTTCACAAATTTGTATTTTTTGTAGATTTAGTTTAGATCGAATATTGTTCGCTTTCTTCACCTTTTTCATTACTTCTTGATGGGATCACACTGTAACCCGCTATTTTATATTCTTACAAGCTAACATCAACTATTCGTATATGTAGATGTACATGCACGAAGACCAAGTTTTGATTCTTAGCTTACCTTTATCACATAGGAGCCAGTTTTTAATCAAATGGAAAACTGTATATAAACAAAAGTAATGACAACTAGACTCTTGTTGCCATGGCAATAAAATGGTCTTCCGTTCCTCTATATTCACCTGTAAGAATTCGCTTTTTTCTGTGTAGAAAAAAAAAACATACATATAATATTTTTGTGAAAGAAAGAAATAGCTGAAAAAATACCCTTTCAGTACTTAAGGTACTTTTATTCTAATGACCAATATTTTGCTCCTATGGATGGGACTTTGTCAATTCTATATGTATATCATAGAAATATTCAAACAAAGCTGTGTGGATAGTAGCGTTTTTTCAGTAATTTTTGCAACACCATTTTGGTTTCTTTGCAACCTCTTACACATAAGATGAAAACTAGGATGAGTATTATTTTTAAAAAAAATTATTAACAAATATTTATACAGACAAACAAACAGACGAACGAACATCGTACTATCACAAACCTCACTATGTTGAGTTTGGCTACTAGAAGGCGTGATTGATTCAATAAATCAAACATTTAAAGTATGAGAAAATGAGTACATTTGAAGGATATTTGTCATATTTTCAGTGCACATTTATGTTCTGGCATAATTGACCATTTTTTCAATTACTTGGAATTGAATATTATTTATTACAATGAACAAAATACCCTGTAATTTCAATTAATTTTGAGTTACATTTCAATTACTTTACATAATACATATTATGTGTATTTAATAGGAAAATCTTTTCAACACAGTCACATTTTACAGTTATTTTAATCTATTCAAAGAAGCCCTCTGTTTTTTTTTTTTTTTTTTTTTTGTTTTTTTTTTTCAAAATCTTAAACTCTTTCACATCTCAGTAAATGAATTTGATAGATTGGCTTGTTTATAAGAAAATATTAGTTTGTTTTATAATTATAATGCACATAAAGAATTAATACTAGTTTAATGATTATCAAAAATTTGTTCTACCTCTCATTGGTATAGGCATGAAACATTTCAATTTTTGTTGCTTGATTATCAAGAAAGAATAGAAAATAATTTAATGTGTCATTAAGATCGACCTGCCTTGTTGCCCTTCAAATCCCAGTTGTAAATTGCTATCAAAACAACCCTCCAAAATTTTATATAAAGGATGAATCTTCATAACACTGCTTTCTCGCCCCTTTTTAAATGCCAAATTTTACCTTTTCAAATCTGAACATGGATATATTGTAGCTTAAGTCTTCAAGCATAGTCTGTATAGATACTTATAAAAGATTTTTTGGGAAGGAGACTTTCACGATATACATTATATCGATTAAATAAAATCGTATACTTCACTGTAAAAACCCCGGTTTCGCCATTACAACTTTGTAGGTCAAGGTTATTTGAATGAGAAGGCGGAGCGTCTATCAAGCGTGCGATTAGTATGAATACATTAGCGTGTGTTCGAGGTGTACAAAGTTTTATGATAAACTGACACAATATAAGCATACGTTTTTAATTTGGCAGAATTTAACTTTGATTTTTTTTTCTGCTTAACTTCCGAGTTGTATTTGAAATGATTTACTGGACATTCGTTAAATTATTTTTACATTAAATACACAATGGAATTTGTAAACAGAACATAAAACGAAGGATACACTGTTTTTCATACTTTAAAGAAACCTTTTTTTAAAAGAAATGATTAATCCATTTAAGCTTATTACATAATTAGAATTATTATTATTATTATTATTATTATTATTATTATATATATATATATATATATATATATATATATATATATATATATATATATATATATATATATATATATATATATATATATATATATATATATATATATATATATATATATATATCCCCTTAGATTCCAAAAAATCCCCTGACGTTCCCTTGTCTATCCCTGACATTTTCCTGTCTCCCCCTGATTTCTCCTATGATCCCCTGTCGATGTCCATGACTACCCTGTTTACTCCCTGACGTCCCCTGACTTTCCCCCTGTTACTACTGTCTAACCCCTGATGTCCCCTGATATTCCGTGACGTCCCTGTCAAATCCCTGATATCTCCTGACTAAGTCCCTGATCACCCTAAAAACCCCCTGTCGTCCCCTGACATTCATTTTGACCCAGAAAAGGGGCTAAATATGTTTTTGTTGCTATTTACTTATGAGAAATACACATGTACGTTACTCTTGGCAATTCTTAATTTTTGTGAAAATATATATTTAGTCAATTGTTATTTGTTCGAATATCTTTAGTAATTTATTTCTTAATGTGATTGTTGTATTTGATTGTTTTAGTTTGGTACATGTAGCCTTTAACATAAATTTTAAGAATAATAACTTTGAAAAGAAACGATTTATCAATTTATTGCGTCTTGTCATGAATGGCATGTAAATATATCTATATTTATTTATCTGTTAATCTGTATATTCACATGTAATTGTGTGTTTTTATTATTTATTTATTGACTAATTTATGAATTTAATCTATTCATATATATCTTATATATATATATATATATATATATATATATATATATATATATATATATATATATATATATATATATATATATATATATATATATATATATATATATATATATATATATATATATGCTTTATTGAATTATTAATTAATTGATTAATGTTATATATTTATTTTTTTTTATTCATTTTATTTTAATTAATTAATTAATTGATGCTATTTTATTCAATTTATTTGTGAGTCTGGATAAACAGTCGTAAGTTTAAACAAAGTATGCTTCAAAGTATCTTCTAAGCATATTTACATTTCTTCTTATACTTTTAATTTCATGCTGGGTATCAAAATAATGGTCTTATTACACACAAGCTGAATCTGAAATTTGTTTTATTGCTTCTTTTACTTTGGTACAAAAAAAGAGAAAATGTTCCTCAAAAACTGTCAGGGTTGTGAGAGTAGTTCCGAGCTGTTGAAAGTTGACCAGTGACTCTGGGTAGACAGACCAGACATTGACATACACTGTTTATTCTGTGACAGCACGACCGTATCCACTCTGCAGGTGTTATTTCCTTCACAACTGTGACAAGATTTTTGAGGAAATTTTTATTTTACCAAAGTAAAAGGGAATAAAACAATTTTCAGATTCAGATTGTGCGTAATGAGACGATGATTTTGATACCCATCATGAAATTAAAAGAATTTAAATTAATTTGCTTAAAAAATAGTTTGAAGCATAATTTGTTTTACCCGAAGACTGTTTAGGAATAACTACACAAAATGAACAAAATGAAATTAATCAATAAATCAAAATAAATGAAATAAATCAAATAAATTAGAATAAAAAAATTAAATAAAAAGTAAATAAACAAAGAAATAAATAAAAAAGATACATGAATAAATTAAATTAATAAATCTACTTAAGATACTTCAAACAAATAATTAGTGGCAAAATCTATATTCTTATTTATTTATTTACTTTTTTATTTATATATTTATCTTTTTTTTAATCTATCTGTTTATTTATTTATTTTCTCTATTCATTTCATTTTTTAAATATTTGTTTTATTCAATTATCAATTGATTAATTAATTAATGTTATTTCTTTCTCTATTTATTTTGTTAATTCATTTTATTTTAAATAATTAATTTTTCTTCAATTCCTATTTATTTGTGTAGATCCGCATAAACAGTTTTAATGAAAAACAAACGATTCTTCAAACTATTTTTAGGCATATTTAAATTTCTTTTAATTCTTTTAATTTCATGATGGGTATCAAAATAATCGTCTTATTACACACAATCTGAATTCGGAATTTGTTTATTGCTTTTTTACTTTGTTACAAAGAATAGAAATGTTCCTTGAAAACTGCACGGCTGTGAAAGTAATTCTGAGCTGTTGATAGTAAACCAATGACTCTGGGTACACAGACCAGGACATCTATTCACAAAATATCTTACGATCAGTCGTAGTCGTAAGATTGTCGTAAGTTTTTTTCTTAAGATTTTGGTTATTCACAAAAAATCGTATGTTTGACGTTACGTCAAAAACAGTCGTAAGTTTACGTCTAGTCTTTAGTTGACGTAAGTCTATAAATACTATACATGGTATCAACTCTAAAAATAAAAATGGCCACCACGTTATCTTTATCGTAAAAAAAAAAAATCAAAACGGAGCAGAAAAAAATATTTTGGGTCGGCACAGATCTGTTTGAATCACTGACCGACGGAGAAATGGTACCGTTTACCAAGAGAGGAAGTCAAAAGAGAGTATCATCCCCGTAAAGATATATTGACAATGCAAAAAAGAAAGAAAAGAAAAAGAAAACAAAATGCCTGCAAAATATTGACATGAATAAAAATTTATAAAAAAAAAATTAAGGGGGGGGGGATTATATTCTCTTTTCAACAAAATAATTTTTTGAAACTAAAGTTAAGAAAGTAATTTGCCAAAACTAAATTTTATAAAAGTAGGGGTTAATCGATGGCCTTCAATGAAAACGACAATTCTCTAAAAAAAAAAAAAAAAAAAAAAAAAGGCGGGGGAAGGGGTGGGGGATACTACGCATTAAGGCAACCTGTCCTGGGGCCAATTTTCATGAATTCCAGTCTGAAAAAGGGGTATGATATTTATATTTTTATTGTATTTACTTAAAAAGAAATTTTTCAACCCGTCACTATGTTTTTCAAGAATATTGTT